CAGTCCTATGACGACGAATTTGAATCGATATAATTAATGTTTATTTCTATCCTTTTATCACTTGTGTCGTTGTGGCACTTATCTGTAAACGGACGTCTTATATGTTGATTGTTTCGCCAGTTTTCCGGAATCATCGCTGAATGGGATGCCAAAAATTTTTTGCATAACGAAGGATGCGGAACGGTGAAGTTGCGCTGACGACTTCACGTAATGAAAATCATACTTAGCAATTGGCCTTCGGACAGACCAAGACGTTTGCGATGTGTGACATGCGCATTTAAAAGCGGCATGCACTCGCCACATCTCACTGCTGCAGTTATTTTACCAATCTTGACAGTGACTGTTTAAATGCTTGTTCATGCCATTTAGCAGCATATCAGCATCTAACGTACAATCGACAACCTGTAAAGCTTCATGGTATAATATTTTGCCTCGATATTTATTATTTATGAATTCTCTCCAGAAAAATGGTTTTTTCTGCTTTCTTTACATACAGCGTACAACAACATGACCCTTATTACGTAATGTCTATGCCAAACAGAATGAAAATTGTCGAGAAGGCAGGATTGTTCGAGAGTAGAGTTACGTGTTAACTGCGCTACTGCTTATTTCCTGTACAGCACAGTTTTTGTTTTCTCATGTAGCGGAACTTGAGAGTTGCAGGCCATTAAATTTGTTTGAAGCAAGTAGGTGATATCTTGCAGTATCCGTTCAACGAAGGAGACAGAACGGTCATAAACGATCTTCACAATGGTCCGTGCCGTATAGCAATCGTCCAGATTTAACAATTATCCTAATGCATCAGCACACGAGTGCAAAATTACCCCGTGTTAATACCCGCATATAGACTTGAGAAGAGTCTTAAGTGATCAGTGGCATTTTGCAACAGCGTGTAAATCACTAGCACAGATCTAAAAGGGATTCAAACGATCTAAACACCATTCGTACAAGTTGGGTCACAAGTTTTGTTGATGACGTAAACCAAGTGATCAGGTCATGTTAATCTGCTACTGATGATTAATTCCACCAAAGTACCTCATATTTTTAGCCCGGATGACCGGCGTCAGGATTGGATTGGTTTGTTCTGTAGCAATGTTGATGAGTTAATGGTTCTGCATGTTTGGAGGAGTAAATACACACTTCACACGTTTGCCCAGGTCGAGGATAAATCTGTGGAAATAACACCAGACCGATGGCTTCGTGAGACGCCTTGAATTTTCATTTGAATAATAGCACGTACACGTATAGGTTGCTGTGCTAATCTCTCAGCTCCTTAAGTGAAAGGTTCAAATCGTTAGCGTTCAGTTTTGGAATTTAGTTTCGGAGTCGCTAATTATGTAAAATACAAGATTCAAAAGAAATCCATTTTGATCAGTCATCTTGATGGACAAAATTTTTTCGAATTTATTGTATTTTCTGTGAATGGCGCTTGTTTTCTCTTGTTTTTCGTTTCCGTCGCCATCATAATTGTTCCTCTGAGATGTTTTATTTAATTAGTGAAATTTTAGCACTGCCTTAACGACTCTACGCAAGATGGATGCACTTGCGAAGTACCGACAAACTGCTTCACGGTTCTTGCAGGAGAATCTAAAGTTGTACAGACGGGTAAGCGGATCGACTATATTTTGTACAACCACCGCCGGTCTATCGATCTCACTGTGGAACGGTGTTTCACGACATTGAGTAAAATTCCGCAGCACCCAACGATCAACTACTCTGACCATGAAGGTCTTTGTGCCATCTTCAAGCTATGCAAAAACACCGATGGCGGTAAGTTGTTTGACTGCACATCTAGTTAGTGGTCAGTAGTATTCCTCAATCTGTGACTCGCAGCGGATGCGCTAAAATAAAGTTTGTAATCCAGTGAGGTGTTATTCTCCCTTACACTTTTGTGATTGGCACTTTGTCATTGGTTCCTTAGTTCAGTTATGGTATTATGCGGTATTCACCTCCGCTTTGATGTCATCAGACGGAAATGCTTTGTTTTTTAAAGCAATGCCTACTGCTATCTGACCCTTTAAAGCATGTAGTCTTTTGTTTCCTTCCCAGTAAGTGGTACTCTTTTATCTTCCTTTGAACTCTGTGATACATGTACAACGACAGGGATTCAGATCCAGTTTCATTCGAGTTTTGGTTATGCGCTCTACTGACTGAGAAGCTATTGAGATAAAAGATTCCGCAGCTTAGTGGTTATCAACAATCATATTAATGGTATATTGTTTTTTACACAAAACAATGCCCTTAACAACAGCTACATAAACAAATATAGAATAAATTAAAACTTGGAGTGTTGAAAAGATTCCTCATCGTCTCCAGTGTTGTGATTGTCGTCTTCAACGCATATGGTCGAATATGATCAATGCTGCATCTTTTGTGCAGTGGTAGACGGACGTGCTGTCCTGATCCTATTACTCACCATACACGTAATGGACAATGCGTATTTTTACGTATTTATGTTCTATATATGGTTACGTATTTTACTGTTTTGCATTGTTGTTCGTTGTACAGACTAGGATCGTTATTCGCGCAATACCTTACCGAAACGTTAGGTTTATTCTAACTTTTATATTCCGTTAATGTTACGTTTAACATGTTGCTAACTTTGCAACTTTCACTCAGGTTTTTGGCATAGGAAGAACTTGAATACGGTTAATTATTTTAGACTGTTACTGCTGCAGCTTTCTCGTTACTGCAAACTATAAGGTTCATTATATTATTTTTTGACGCATTAAAAAGTTGATGTTATTGCTTGAATATAGTTATATTTCTTTGAGAATTTTTTTAAATTTTTTCGTTGCTCTGTCAACCCCAAAGTTACTGCCGGTTTATGATTAAGAGCTTATGGAAGCTACATATAGGTGTCTATCTTGTTTAATAGGCTTGCAATTCTTTTGCTTTCAGTTAAGCTATTTTATCGTTTATTTGAGTATGACTGACAGCACTCGAACCAGACACTGTCTAATACGGTATGATGCTCCTCATACTAATGAAACGACAAGTGTTACGACAGCCTGAATCCTCGTTGTTTTGAACTAGTGAAACAGAAGCTCAGATCAGTAATGTATGTGTACTCCCCAGATTTTTTGGCAGTTTTGAACATGATGCATAATATTAGTCGACACCATGTCGTCCCATCGAGTAGCTCTACACAAATAGAACCTGAAAACACTTAAATCAACAATAATTATAATTACATTTTCTATTTGCTTTATAACTTTTGTAGTAAGTGCTTTGCTTGAGCGATGTTTCTTTAGAAAATTTCGTTTCTACCGGTCATGCGTCTTCGACAGATACTGTGTTTCCCGAGGCGATAAAAGTCATCGACGAGGGAATAAGGAAAAATCGTTCCGACCGTAATTTCTTTATGGCAGCGTTAATTTGTCTAGTGGTCCTTTATGTTTCCACAACGAAGGCCGACGGCGACTTTGATCGCGTGCTGTTTCAAGTTATCGTAATATTTGTGGTCGTTCGTTTCTCTTGCCTTTTATGTTATTGCTTCGTTTAGTTTGCTGTTGGTCGCCTGATGCTGTCGATACTGATCGGTTTTTGCTTCTGGCACGGGCGAGTCGTGTTGAGTATGGAGCGAAAAGCGTTCCTCGCCGCCAAAGGCGGCATGAAGCTCCTCTGTGATTCAGAAAAGTCTGCTTAAGTTCTGACTTTGTTGCTGTTTTATCGAAACCGCGATTCAATGTGATATTGCGTAATAGCATGAGATCGTCAAATTTCAACCGTGTTCGTTCGTTTACGTCATGTTAATATTTTTAGGACAGCAAAACGATGCGTTTACGTATGTGAAATGGAAAGTTATTGTTTAAATGCTGTTGCGAAATAAATTTGTTAACTAATACGCGTAAAGAATGCCGACGTATTTCCAATACTCATGTTCTGAAATATTTAATGTCATATGTGACCTTGCCGATATGAATCGTCTTTCGTAATCTAGATTGCTAAATGACCTATCGAAATAAAACTTACTATACGTTTGGCATGAGATCTTGTCTGTGACAAGGAAGTGCTACAAAAACGGTCGTTTACTATATTAATTGACTAGAGTCCCTGAAAGTTTTTCCGGATTATAATAAATATTATGGCATCATTCAATTAGGTATTTTAAGTGAAAGATGATAGAAATATGTTCGGAGTTTCTTTGACTCTTTATGACTTCATAGAGGTTTAGGTTGCAACTGAGCTGCAATAATTCAATTTTGAATCAGTGATTATGCGTAGCAATGTTTCTGGCAATGTTTCGCGTAGCAATCATTAGCGTGTTCTTGGACTACCGACTCGACATTGATGCTCCAGCGGAACTTGTTTGTACTTGTAATCCACCGGTTGTCTTTCAGGCGAGCTACATGACCGATCCATGTTTTCTC